CTCTCTCTCTCTCTCTCTCTCTCTCTCTCTCTCTCTCTCTCTCTCTCTCTCTCTCTCTCTCTCAAAGAAGAAGAAGAGGAAGGAGGAGAAGAAGAAGGAATGAACATATGGAGGGCAAGAGCAGGAAGAAGAAGAAGATGTCGACCTCTCCACTGTCTCACCTGCAGGCTGCATGTAACTGCTGCCATGAACTAACGAGCTGGCGTGCCTCGTTGTGCTGCAGGTCACTGGCGAAGGAACCAGCTCTAGCGCTCAGGTAAGCTGTTTGCACCTTGCAGGTAAGGCCACCACCTTTCCCTCACCTCTCTTGGCTCCTACACCTCTCTTGGCTCCTACACCTCTACCTCTATCTCTAACGTTAACGCAGTCGGTCATCGTTGTGGTCTCTATATTGGTCGACGTGCAAGCCTGCGTAAAGGACTATGGGGAACGGCTGCCAAACATTCGCAAAGGATTAATCGAGAAAAGATTATGATTCATCGCGGGTTTTGTCTGTCGTTGTCGTTGTCGAGGAAAAAAAAGAAGACGCCCCTCACCTGTAACGATTCTACGCATGAAACCAACTGCCACAAGGATGTTTAAGGCTGTAGGAATAGATCTCTAAGAATGACAAAAATAGCATCGTCAGGGTTTTCGTTTGTCTTTTGTAGAAACGAGAAGCGAGAGTGAAGCACATGAGCATGCATGAACTTGATGATGTTTTCATGGTGCCAAATAATGTTACCCTAGACACTTTTTGTATGAGAGTCTTAAATGTGCTGTCATTGTTTTGTGTGTTTTTCTGTGCAGTGATTGATTCATCACTGCGGACACCTCTAACGGCAGTAAGTCCTAGCAAAGCCAGAGGGCAATATGTGGAGAAAATTGTGCACGTGAGGTCGTCAATTTGTATTTACAGGCAGTTCAAATCGACAACGACTTGAAAAGATAATCATTGAAACTTAGAGGGGAGATCACATACCATAGTCCAAGTAACATTCCACCTGTATATATTGTAGATTCTTTTTTCTATGCAAGATTATTGTTGGAGTTGTTCGAAAACTCGATTTTTTTGCCGTCCTGGGTTGGTTAAAAGATGTAAGATTATCTTTTTGATTTCAACTTCGTTCTGATCCTGCTCAATTTTAGAAACCACTAGGCGTTAGCTAGTGTTAGCATTCATGTTCATATTTGTGAATTCCAACTTCTACACTCTCTTCCTCATAGCGGTCGCATGGAATCGCTCGAAAAATTAGCCACCTTCTTCAAAATAGAGTTTCGTTGTCAACATCTTCACGATAGATATCACGTAGAAGAGCCAATAATATCTTTGAGGGGATTGGTTGATGGAGTGTCAACCCAAGCAAACTGTTGTAGCTGAGGTGTGTTTACGTTAGGTTTTGCGTCAGTGATGGCGAACGGGCAGCTGCCTCCGTTCAGTTCATCGCGCGTACCAACTGAGCTAGGCCCTTAAAATCGAAGTCCCGCAGGGACCGAAAAGCTCAAAGGGCTGCCTCGCGAGTAAAAAAAGGAATCCAAAACCAAGGCCAAACCAAGCCCGCTGGCTAGACTCACGGCTGCAAGCCTTCAACATCGCACGCATGACGCCCGAAAGCCACACCTTAGCTATGGGGCACGCTATTCAGTACACCTTATGTTCGCTTTTTCCCGCACACAAGCGGTTCACCGCTCACACTAAATTCCCACCTAATAGATCTTGGCACGTCGCTCCCTCACGTGTTGGGTCTTTCTCGACCTTAATCTCATCGAACCCAAGCCAAGGCTGCCCCTTGGCTATGCAACGAGCCGTCAACTACAAACGATGCCGCCTGCCTCCAGTCTGGCCCAATGTTTCTCCAAAAGGTGGCATCTATGGGACGTGATCAAACTTGGCCTTTCAATTGGCACTGACGACCGACCATGCCATCGGTAATGGTTCCGCTAGTCAGATCCAACCGATCATAAGACAAAGAAAACATAACAACAAAAATACAAAAAAAAGCGCGGATAACAAAAATAAATAGGAAGAAGGCGGAAAAAAAAAAAAAGACTTGCGGGCACTGCGACCTCACTCCGCTGTGCGAAACCGTTGATTGTTTTGTCGACCCACATGGCCAGCGGCTATCCGATCACCTTTCATGCGTTACAATAATGCGTGCCCACACACACTCTCTAACCTAACTTTACCCACCCTAGCTGTCTCGAGCCCAGCGGCTCAGGCACAGGTCGAACGAATAGGACATGACGATCTCTCAGCCAGTATCACAGACACACACCGTGCTATTTGCAAAAACACAAGCAAATACCCTTGTAAGGGTATTTGCTCCAATAACGGTCTTTCCAGAGGTGATGTATCGATGATGGATGAATGGATGGTTGCTGCTTTCCTTTGCTCTTTCGTTTGGAATTTTTCCAGAGAAGTCCTCCGCGTTCTTGAGCAGCGGAGCAGGCACTCCTCTCCTTACAATCTTCCACTTGCAAGTCTTAGAAGGAAGTAACGACTGGAATGATTACTCTCTCGTGGCTTATGAGCGCGAACCACTCTCGACGGCTAATGTGTCCCTTATTGCGCTTTCTTTGTCCTTAGTTTGAATGGATGCACCCTTGTATGATTAGAAGTATGACCCGTATGTGAATGTAAGGATTTTGGAATGGGTACCCCTTTAAAGTTGCTCAATGCGTGAAGATCTTTGCTCTTCCTATCACTCTAAAAAAGGGAAGCACATCTCATGCAATGATCCAAGTATTTATTTTTGTTGTTGTCACAACTTGTCTTCATTTTGTTCTTTTGAAGAACCTGTGATTCTCTCTTCGAAAAGTTCTTCCGAAACTAGTCCATTAGTTTTCTGGGTAATCCCCCTTTGTGCAGGAACATCAGGCATGAAAGGTACATCGTATTGCCTGATTTCCTCTGCGAAGGCGATTCCCAAGGTTAATGGAGGTTGATTACCTTGTTTTGTGGACGATGGATGGGTGTGCATTGGCCATGTGGACTGAGCCAGCCGAGCCATCGAGGTGCCGACTTGTCGAACATCCCCCCCCCACAACCTTTCCCGTACAATGAGGATAGGACACGTGTCTGCGAGTGGGACGCACGAGAGGCCAGATCCAAGATTGCAACCCTTGTCATTTTCCCTCCCAAACACGATGTTATGGATTTGTCAACTCGGGTTTTGTGATTGTTGATACTCATTTCCCTCCCTATTCCATTTTGCTTCCTTTCAATGAGCTCATTATCATCCCATGGCCGACAGTTGCTCCCCACTGGCCTCACAGGCTGTGCAGCAATTGTCGGCGCTCTGAGCGCTTTCGAGCTATAAGGGGTTCAACTATCGGAAAGGTGATGAAGAGGAATTCAAGAAGAAAGCGGTGAGAGAGACTGCGACTCTCCGATTCGGATTCTGAGCTCTGCGAATAACGTTGGCGGTCCCTTGTTCGGCCCAGAAAAAGACGTCTCGCTGCTCATGCCAAAGTCCAAAAGTACTTTTTGGATTAAGTAGTCCTTGGGAAGGACTATTTTCCGCTTTTCCCGCTTTGCTCGTCACTCCATATCTGGAACTACACAAGAGATTCCAGTTCTATCTGGGTCTCCACACTCAATTTTCCAAAAATCCTTGGCACACCCCATTTTGCCGCTTTCCAAACCCCTTTTCGGTGTTTTAGTCACTTTGACGGGAAAAGTTGTGCAGGGCGTGAGGTTGAGTGACACAGGTGGGGCTTCCCTCCCAACCCCTGTATGGAAGATCTACCACTTGACTTGGAGGAATGGCTTTGAAGCATCCGAGCCCACAAACCTCACGAAATGAGCAGCAATACCTTGGACACATGGACAGGATGCTGCGGCCCAAGCTGAACCTCGGGGAGCACATGTCCGACAGATGGGGCAGCCACCTGGGTGTGGACCGCACCAGCGTAGGGCCTGGTTTAGTTCAGCTAAGGCCCATCCTGCAAATTTTGCATCCCTCCTACCTCTCCATCAACAGTTGCTGATCGAGCACTCTTGCCTGGAGCAGAAGGGGCTGGTGCTCCCATGGTGCGGGGCCTGTCAGGAGAGGTACCCATAGCAATCTTTTCTTTCTTTTTTCTTTTTTTTCAGAGGTACCCAGCACGAAAGCTTGATGAAACAATATAGCATATCTTTATGCAATGCCCATAGGCGATTGCATCCTGATGATGATGGAAGCGAATCTGGTGCTCGCTGGGAGCTGACATCGACTGGCCTCGGGAATGGCAAACACTCCTTTGTGGCCGCTGGACGGCAGATCTGACGTCTTTCAATGCCCACATGTTTCATGTGGGATGCCTGACACTTGTTTGGTGCACTCTAACCATGGAGGGGGGAAGACTAAAGAACAGGGAGTTTGTAGACATATTTAAGAAACAAGTAGAAGCCAAGATCATGTCGCACTGGAACAGAACCAAGAAAAACTGCGCTTTTTATCCCATCGAGCAGGCCACGAAACTCAAAGCACGCACTTCTGTATGGAATGGTTGGGGGGGAAACAGGGAGGTAGGATGGCAGTGGTTGAGTGGGAGGACAGGCCCCCTGCCAGAAAGACTACCCTCTACCGTTTGTGAATTGGATGAAGATCAACAATTCTATCCCTCTGCGTGTGACGTTCTAACCTCACGCCCTGTACGGTCTTCCGGTCGGAGTGATAAATTATGCGGAACAGGCTCTAAAAGAACAGCGAAATGGGGTGTGCCAATGATTTTTGAAGAAATTGAGTGTGGGGACACAAGCAGAACTGGAATCACCCGTGTGGTCCCAGTTTTAGCGAGAAATGGCCATTGCCGCCACGCGGGAAATAAATAGAGCGCACTGCGTTCAAATGTTCGTTTTAATCCAAAAAGTATTTGTGTACGTACGTGGGATCTTGTTTTCAAATCAGGTAGCAGTGCTGGTCGTTACAGAGTTCGGAATCCGATGTGGATGGCCTCAGCCTGATCACTCTTTCCTTGTGTTTGTCTTCGCTGCGTGTCCGGTAGTGGAAACCCCTTTTCCGATAATGCTCGGCATGGTGACAATCGCTGCACATAGTGTTGGGCCAATGGGTGCCACTGCCGTCCACGGGATGACAATCAACTCGTTAAAAGGCAATACAATGAGTATGGAGAAAAATGGGTATCGATAATGACAAAAACAGCGCCTAGAAATCCGGAGCACCGCGTTTCGGGTGGAAAATAGTAGCGTTCACCGATCTTGGCGACGGCTTCTCGTACGTCCCACTCACATACACGTGTCCTTTCCTTGCTACACGGGAACGGGTGTGGTTGGGATACGGGAAGTCGATGCTCAGTCAGATCGGGGCAATCGTTCCACGTGGCATAAGCAAAGCGAATTGCGTTTGTCTAATCAGTCCGTTATTGGATCCCGTGGATAAGCAGACACAACACTATGCCTTATTTTTCATTCATCATGCAAGTTACCCCAATCAAGAGGACGATCATCATACAATCGTGCGAGCATGGATCGTATCATTATCTTAACTTGTTTCTGTCATCGGAGCTACAACTCAATCGATGCATACATGTAAGAGATCACTTGTGCATAACATGTCATATACTGAAGGCAAGAAAGGGGCGAGGTAAGATCTCCTGATCTTGCTGGTCTCTCAAATTCAACGATATTCGTCCTCGCGAGGTCCGATTGAATGCGGCAAGACGAGCAGGATACAATTTCGGGAGCTGATAGGGACGCTGGAGTTATCAAAACTCTCAGACATTCATGATGAGCATACTGAGAGAGAGAGAGAGAGAGAGAGAGAGAGAGAGAGAGAGAGAGAGAGAGAGAGAGAGAGAGAGAGAGACAAAGTCGGAGGAGGCGGACAAAGATGCAGCTTGACCGAAGAAGGGGACTAAAGACAAGGAGAGAGTTATAAACACACCAAGAGATCCAAGAACCAAAACCGGCAGTCTGCCGTGAACTTAGCTTCCAATTTTAGGAAGAGAAGGAATCGAAGATCGAAGGCGTGCAATCCTTCTGCTCTCTAACTATGGCCCCAGGCCGTACACCCAGACGTTCACATTCACCTTCCTTATCCCGGTACTGGCGATCCTGGCCACCACATACCAAGCTCCACAGCATAGCGATCGTCATCCTGCCGACTTAGCTTCTACATCGACTTGCCCAGATCCAGCAGTCCATCACGGGCACCCGGTGCGTAGCCTTGCAAAAAACTACAGTCAGCTCATTAGTACTTTCCGACTTGCCATGCATACACATTATCTAGCCACGACTTCTCGAAAGTTGGCAGATGGGTTGTGAAAGAGTTTTTCGGATGCGCTTGTCGATTTTATAGTTGCGAAGAGGGAGATAGAACATGGGAGGGGTCGGGACGAAGGTAGACGGGGGTAAGGAGAGGATCCGAGGTAATTGCCCGAGGAAAGACATATCAATCTCTGCGGGCCCTGGTTGCTCCAATCTATTGGTGGGGAGCAGCGCCTGCTGGAATAGGGGTCCAGCGATTTCCGCAAGTTCCTTTGCAGCCAATCAGATTACAGCGTGAGGAGAGTGTCATCCTTTCACGATGTTACCTGATGGTTCGATTACCCTGAAAAGGAGGGGGAGAAGATCGGTAGGGAGTCCCTGTGTGGGGATGAGGGGGGGAAGAAGTTGGGTGCGAAGAGTAGCGCAGAGCAGGACCAAGATTCAGACGGAAAAGAGAGGGAAAGATGCGCAGAGGGAGTCGGGATGAGAAACAGTTACGGGTGGAGAGAGGCAGGCGCAAAGAAGGGCGTGGTGAAGATGGCAGGGGTATAGCGGGAAGAGGGGGAAGCTCGCATGCATGGTGCCAGTATAAGAACAAAAAGGCACCAAAACAGTTATGTTCCGTCCATCCTAGATTCTAAAACTAATGCAAGATTGATAAATTCAAGTACCATACCTGCGCGTGAGCTTGGACGCGGGAGAAAAATCCTATGCCTGTTCAGATCCCTACTGAAAAAATGCATAGGGCTTTCAAGGGCTAATTTGGGAACATTCATTTGCAAGAAAGGACACATGAGGGGGAAGGGCGCCCGCAAATTCCGGAGTTCCCAACTGCCGAACAAAATTCCTAACGTGCTCACTAAGGCGCGCATAATTCCTACGTTAGTTCCTGGATCGTCGGAAAGGAATTGTGAAGAAAGTAAGACAACCACAAACAAAAAAAAAAGGTGAGAGGGCCTCGTCGGCCCTTGATACCAGGTACCATCAATTGACC